GTGCGGCACTAGGATAAATGTATCTAACTGCAGTTACGACTGGACTCAATTTCGATGAATCTGACTGCGATCACCTTCAAAAAATTCTAGCAAGTCCTGGAGCAAGTATGCCCTCACGTTCAGCGAAGTTGACAGGTGGGGAACCCCCCCTCCCCCACGACTGAACACCTCTCAAGCCCGCACCTGCGATACGGGTACACAACTTCGAGGACCCAGAAGGTGGCCCTGCAGAGCAGCGTGGAAAAAGCATGAAAGGCAAACCACACACAAACTCGTGGAGCCGCATCCTCCAGGCCGTTAGCCCAATCCGCACACTGCCTACCAACAACTCCCCCTGCCCTGCTGCACACTGGGCGATGGCTCCCACTCAGGCTCCTTGCACCGCCCAGCACCCTCCATGCTGCGTCTCGATGCCCTCCGTGGTATATCAGTCAGAAAACAGCACGCTTCTAAACCTCTTTTTTTTTTCTTTTTTTTTTTTTTAAATGCAGTCCCTTGCAGTGCACAGGGGAGAGGCTCCATCTATTGGTGGGGAGCATCACCTGCTGGAGAACGGGTCCAACGTCCCAGATACATAATGAATTGGAGACTTGTCTGAAAGGGGATCTGTGAGATGACCACTGGAGCATTGACTGAGCCAGTAGATGGAGAGGGGACAGGAACCTCTTCACCCTGTGTCGGGCGCCAGATAACTGCTACTACACACTGGTTCCCTCCCCACCCAAACCTGACTTAATCCACCAGTACCTTTCTCAGCTATCGACTGGGGCCCTGTGCGCCAAGCTTTGCGGGCGCATCTGGCCACCACCGCCAACCAAATGCGGCCTCCGTGTTAACGGGTGCATATTTGTTTTTCAAGCAGGGAAGGGTACTGGTGGTTTAACCCACACATAAATAAGAAATAAAACAGAACCAAAAACTCCATTAAATACTCCCCAGGTCTTGTGATATGGGGTTGTACCTGAGATCGAGGGAGCTCTGGGAAGGAAAGCATCAGCTGTTGAAGATTGTGCAAGCCCCAATGCCTGCACCTAAGCCGGGTAATGGTCCCAGACTCCCACTATTGTTCCTTTCCGAGTTCTTTGTGGAGGATTTCCCCCGGCCTCATTTCTGTTCTTTTTCTTTTTTTTCTAAAAGCCCAGGTTGTTGTAGAGGTGGGATACTAAACGGATGACAGCCACCCATGTGACGTTCAACCTTACGCCCTGCTCTGCTTTCCTTGTCAGAGTGACTTAAGCGCGAAAAAGGGGCCCAGAAAGCGGCAAAATGGGGTGTCCCAAGGATTTTTGGAAAATTGAGTATGGAGACACAGACAAAACTGAAATATCTCGTGTGGTCCCAGACATGGAGCGACGAGCGATAGGTGGAGAGGTTGGGGAAGCGGGCTCTTTCTTTCTTTCTTTCTTTCTTTCTTTCTTTAAGTCCCGGGTGTTGTAGAGGCCAGTCAGTGTGTGCACAGTGATCACCTGGAACTGTGAGCCGTGGGTATCCTGGAATATGAGACCACCTCCCAACCCATCCTCACGTCAATACTCCTAGCGCACCCCCTATCCCACTATTCTACCTCAGTGTGACCAGCACTCAGGACCATTGCCCTACCAACGGACAGGCAACTTGGACCGAACAGCAGTGACAGGCACCAGGGTTGATAGATTGGCCAGCCCTGGTGGAAGTTGAATCGGACGAACCTTGTCGAATGGGAACTTCGGACGCCAGGCCCAGACAATGAACTACAGGCCCCATATATATATAGCCACCAAACAGTTCTATCCGAATGTCAGTAGGAACTGCACCCAATGGCACCCTATCCAACCTACCTGAACCTATTGCAGGCACTAGACCCCACCAGTGACTAGCTCCCCAACCTGTTGTTTTGTGTATATATTTTGTGAATCTGTGTAGACAGTATCATGTGTGGAAACTTGTGTAGACTAGCTCCCCAGCCTGAAATTCCGAACGTACAAAGATTTCGCCTCATTTGGGCCTCGCCTGGCGAAGTTTGCGATTGTTGCCAATACCATTCTCGGAATCTCCAATAACTCTAACCAAGTGGGGATCACGTTTCTCGATATCCTCAGCCTTAACGAGGAGCTCCGAAAGGCAAACTACCGTGATAAAGTCGTGCTGGCAGGGTTGGACTGGATGTATCAACAAGATGGCAGCAGGATCTGGAAAGATATGTCCTGTGCGATTGAAACATGGCTTGCTGACAGGTAATCGTGGGTTATCCCACAGAGCCGGGTACGTGATACCCGGGAGACTTTCTGGATGCCAACTGGGCGTTTTTGGCTTGGGCTGCGTGCTCCACCATCGGACGGAGGCGCGCCGGTGGGTCTAGTGTTTTTGGTGTGACCTCCATTTTTCTACTTTTGTCTATTTTTATGCATTGTTCTGCATGTTCCGGATTTTTCTGGTTTTGTCTGGACTCTCATTGGCTCTTCTGCAAGGGTGTCTGGATCGCCAGGTAAAACTCGAGGACTCGGCCCTATCGAGTTTTTCCGTGGAGTACCATGTTGTTTTCCACAGGAATGTTTCTTGCACGTAATGTTAGCCAGGTACCGGTCAGAAGACTTGGTTTGTCGGGGAGGATGGCAAAGTTGCCGCCCGAGCGTTTTTAGCGAGTTTTTCGCAGGAACGTATTTAGCGTTAATAGTGGTCAGGTACCGCTCAGCAGACTCGGTTCTTCGAGGAGGCTGGCAGAGTGTCCACCCGAGCGCCTTTTCGCGCGAAAAATGAAGGTCAGGGCAGCCTGTGACCAGGTTTCAGACGGGCCAATGCATAGGGACTAGAACACCAGGTTGATGAGTAACATGTCGACCGGGAACGCCCACGTACGGGTGAGAGTATGTCTATAAACTTATATTTATAGGGGGTAGATGGTTTCATTCCTCAGCCTGAGTGGCGAATGAGTGGAAGGGTTGAGATCCTCGGCAGTGTGATATCGAGGCATGTAGGGGAGAAGTTGATGTCGCCATGATAGTAAAACTCACGTCTTCTTCTTCTTAAGTTATATCCATTTTTCTGTGATTTTCTCTATGGTACGCAGCCTCAAATTCGACCTTGCCGTGGCTTGGGCACGAATCTGAGGTGCCGAATCTCCCTTGCGAGATCGTGCTTGCTTTGTGTTCCTATGTCTAATCAATCATTCATTCATGTAATCATTTATTTGTTTATCAATTACTTAGTCAATCGATTGACCGATTAAATGCTTTTCGTTCCTCATTTGCGATCTCCATTGCCTTTGTTATCTTGGGAGCATGGCTTTCACTATTTTCATGCTTACCACTGGTGGAGTATATCCTGTCTCAGCCGCAGTTACCAAGGGGGAGCGTGGATGATTACGCGTCGCTGACTTTTTGTGTAGAGTCGGTAGTGCTGCACTGATGTTCTCGTATGAAGCGCTGGGTAGTATCAGTGGTGATATCCGAGGTGGTGGCGGATCCCATCGCCTGTAAGCTGCGATTTGGGACGCTTGCTCGGAACGGCCTTTTGACGCAGTGAGAGTGTGTACTTGCGTGTCTGTCTAATAGCCGGGGAAGAGTAGCGGAAGGTGGACGGTGCGTCATCTACGTCATCCACGTCTTTCCAAGTTATCTACAACATCTACGTCATCTGCGTCATCTTCGCAACGCTCTCCTTGCGTATCTTCGCACATCCGGGTGTATCTGGGAGGGAAAGTGGACGGGTGCGCCTGCGCAAGCGAAGTTGCATGTGTCATACCCCTCTTACGGGTGCGGCGCTCTACACATCGGGTGGGATAAGGAGGCTGTCCACCTTACCTCATGTTCTTGCGCTTCCGGACCTCCGAGCTACAGACTGATACAAAGTTCAACGAAGTGAAGAACAAGATTAGCCTGGGCCTTGGGTGGATAATGTTTGCTTTCTCCATGCTGAGTCGTAGCGGGAGCCGAGGAGCTAGGCGTGGCCGCTGGTCGAGCTGTGGTCGGTACTGGACGAACATGAATGGCGGACATCAGCTGCCAAATCAAGTTGGTACCGGGCAGTATAATCCTGCGCCTGCGCCTCCGGGCATTGTGCCAACGTATGTTGTGCCCACTGTACAAGCGCAAGGTGCGCAGCAGCAGCTACCGCCGGTGCAGCAACAGGTACCTCCGACGAATGCAGCACCGTTCGTCCCGGTGAATAGCGGAACTCACCCGCAGTATGCTATGCCACCGATTGTTGCACCATGGGCTATGCAGGCGTGGCCGACTACTGCACAATGGCCTGCTGTCATTCCATGGCAAATGCCCCCTGCTGGGAATCCTCTTCCTCTGCCTCTTCCTCAACCATCTAATGTGCAATTACCTAGCGTCCAAGTACCAAGCTCGCAGAATGGTGATCTTCTCGATTCCAAAGCTCAAACAAATGGCGATGGTTGATTGTCTAATCAGAACCATGGGAAAGGTCCGACTGCGAATGCTTTTCCAGACCCAGGTAACCGGGCATATTTTACAAAAGAATACATGGACATCTTGGAGGATATAAAGTCGAAAAAAGTTCTCAACGTTGCGAAGAGGAAGATTTCTGGAGGCAGGATGGGTGGCGTGCGGATTTCGGACAGCACAAACGAGAGCTGCAGGTCAGAAGTCCGCTCGAACTGTAAGACCGACGATATGAAGGCATGGGTTACTTCGACCTTCGGAGATTCACTGAAGTTAATCACCCAGAAGCTTGAGGAAGTGGACTCCGAATCCAAGCTGGTGGCCATCGAGAAGGAGGAGCTAATGCGACTAAGAGCGGAGAAGGCTGCCCTCAAGAAGGTCAAGAAGGAAGCGAGTAGCGAGAAGCGAAAGCGAGTGGCTGCTGTAGCGCCCGCTGCTGTGACGCCTGCCAACAACACGAAGTCCCAATCGAGAGGAAGTTCGAAAGGGAGATCGCGCCGAGTTGAAATCTCTTCTAACGAGGAAGACAGTGATATCGGTCAGGTGCGACAAAACTTGAGTGAAAAACTGGAGAAGAGCAGTGACTTATCCGAGGTGAAGAAGATGCTGGCCTCGATTGCACAAAGTCTCGGTCGCGATCGCACAAAGTCTCGCCGACGTCAAAGGCAAGCAGCCGGCGGTGGATCCTGAGGAACAGCCTGTCAAGGAGCATGGAATGGAGGAAGAGGACAATGAAGATGTGGATGTTGCCGTGAACACCCCTGACCATGAGGAAGAAGAGGTTGATGAAGGCGGGTTGGCCGTGTATATGAAAATGCGGCAGGACTTCTACATGTCCTTGCATTATACCAGGGTGCAGGAACTATGCAAGCAGAGAGAAATTTCTTACTTTCGTAAGGAACCAGCAGCTTGGGAATTAGCGAGGTTGGATCTGCAAGAATACGCGGACCAACTAAATGGTAATGCCCCAAATGGGGTGAACGTTGGGAACAGGGGCGCTGAGCCCTCTCGCAAGACAACTGCGAGGAACTGTGATAACCCAGAGTCTGGGAACGAGAAGGGTGGTGACTCAATTGCCGGTAACTGATTAGGAAGCTTTCGCTCCTTAAAAAGAGCATCAAGGCGCATTAGTGCCTTGCAATGTTCTGTTGATAGTTCGCTGCAGGTGTTGATGGATAAGATCAAGGTCTTGATTGTTCTTTTGGCTTGCCTAAGGGGGGACATTGCATAGGGACGGGCTTACTTACCCTTCTGGCTGCGCATGACTGATGGAGAGTGGGGCAGCCTGCTTGATGGCCGATGTTGCGTGTATGCACTCATGTCAATAGACTTTAAGTTGGTGTACGTTGGGAAGACTATCCGCCCACTGAGGGAGAGGTGGTCCGAGCACTGCAGGGCTGTAAAAACCAGTAGCAAACAGCCGGTACACTCTTGGTTGCGTAAGGTTGGTATCAAACACTATGTTTCAATTCCCATCTGGTTTGGTGCCGCCCTCGCTGTTGAGGGTATTGAACCTAAGATTATTCAGGGTCACAACCCAGGCTTGAACTCAATGGGTCGCAGGCTTGCTAAGTCTTCTCGGAAGGGTCGGGGGAAGAAGCGTTCAGGTTGTCGGCCGCCCTTGGCTGCCATATCTGAACCTCTGTTTTTTCAACCAGACCTACTGAGAACTCGTCCCTATCGAGTTTTCTGCCGGAGATAAAAGGTGTTTAGAGGGGGGATGCTTATTTTGACTGTCCTGATCTTAAGATCTGCCAGGAACCAGACCTACTGAGGATTCTCAAACTGCTGAATAAGCGGAGAAGCCGCAATCCTGTGAGTATTAGCAATAAGTCGGGGTATCGCTGGTTGAAAGCATGGCCACTGGTGACTTTGCTGTTTGGCTTTTCTAAGATCGAGTGTGATGGTGAAAAAAAGTTGTTATGCTAAGACTTCAATTGAGTCAGGTGGTTGTTGGTTCATCACCCAATTACTTAGAACTCAAACTAAGTCTGATCTGATGAAAGCGCACCTTATTGCCCTCCTGCGTGCGCCCTGGAAAAGGAGAGATTTGTATGCCTGCTCTTTAGAAGAATTAATTGACTTTAATAATGGGGTTAAGACCATTAACCAGCAGCGTGGCCGTCAGATCATTCGGGGTATCCTTACAAATGTCTTCAAACGGAAGTTTGACATTAACCCAAGATTGAGTATTACTGTTAAAATTCCCTTCTGTACTACTGTAGACAAAAACCGAGTTGTTGTTGCTGTGAGGGACTGGATTCTGTCACATGTTGTTCCAATTTCGCTTGCTGACTTGTATGCTAGGAGGACGAGAGCAGTATGGATGAAAGGCCATAATGTCGGAGACCTGTTGCATAACCAGAAGCCATTTGCGCAAGCATATGTTTTTGACTGTGTATGCGCTGGCTTTGAACTGCCTAAGTTAAATGGGCGTGTTGCAGTCAAACTAAGCGAATTGGATGGCATTGACCCTTTCCTGTTTAACTTAAAAAATGTTTCCTTCCCTGTAATATTTACTAGCAAGGATGCTCTGAATATGGCTTGTAATACTGCCATCTCAGAGCTTCGACGGACTGGCGTGGTACAAGGGGAGATTCAGGTGAATTTGTTATCCGTTTGCAAGGTCGGGGTACCAAAGCCTGATGGTTGTGTTTTGAGTGAGTACGTTAAAGGTATTGGGCAGTCTCTGTCGGGTTTGGTCTTGTCCCCCCTCGACCGCAACACATCAGAGACTTGGATTGAATGCCCCAAGTTGTATGAGATGGGGCTTCGGAAGATGTACACTGAGAATGAAAATTACGAGACCATTCAGTCGTCGAAAGAAATGGTCCTCACCGAGATGAGGAAGAGATATGGCAAGAACCACTTGGATGAGATCAGTAAGTGGGATCCCAAAGGTGATGTACAACATGCGTACGTTCTGTCGAAGGAGAAGGACAAGGAAAAGAAAAGACCCATGGTTCCGTCTTTCTTTAGGCCCTACCGGACTGCCTCCGGTTTACTTTCCACGGCTTTGAACGCGCTGATTAAGCGGACGAAGGCACCAAACTTTAACCTTCGGGCTATCAGCGACCTGAAACCTGAGGTGTCCAGGATTAACCAATTGGTACCAAGGGGCTATGGGCTCGAAGCACGCACATACGACATCAAAGAAATGTTTACTCAACTCCCCCACACGGAAATTATCCGTGCTGTTAGGTGGATGGTGGAACTGTTTCAGCAGGGAGGGATTAAATGGATTCGAATTAACCCCCGGAAGAAACTAGCCACATTTGGCAAGTCTCACGGGGAAGCTGGGTGGAAGTCAATCCGACTGAGCAAGTTGGTAAGTTTAACCAACTTCCAACTGGACAATACATTCTTTATAGTCTCTGGACTGATCCTCCGACAGAAGCATGGGATTCCTATGGGTGGGAGGGCAAGCCCTCCCTTTGCTTGCGTGATGTGTATGTGCGCTGAGTTCATCTTTTTATCTGAGCTTGGAAGTGATGCTCGCCTGATTTCGGGGAAACCATATATTGACGACCTGTTAATAATTGCCTTCTTCAAGAAAGGTGACCAAGTGAGCCGTCAGCTTGCCAAGGATCGACTGGATCGTGTCACCAGCTGCTATCCCGATGGACTGCAGCTTGAACGCACGGACACGGGTACAGGGATCCTTGATTTTCTTGAGACTCGTATGTTGGTTATTAACGAAGCAGCCCTGGTGATGTTTCATAAGTTTAAGAACGGAAACTCGATCTGGGATGCTGGCCCCCTGAAATTCTGAACGTACGAAGATTTCGCCCCATTTGGGCCTCGCCTGGCGAAGTTTGCGACTGTTGCCAATACCATTCTCAGAATCTCCAATAACTCCAACCAAGTGGGGATCACGTTTCTCAATATCCTCAGCCTTAACGAGGAGCTCCGAAAGGCAAACTACCCTGATAAAGTCGTGCTGGCAGGGTTGGACTGGATGTATCGGCGAGATGGCAGCAGGATCTGGAAAGATATGTCCTGTGCGATTGAAACATAGCTTGCTGACAGGTAATCGTGGGTTATCCAACAGAGCCGGGTACGTGATACGCGGGAGACTTTATGGATACCAACTGGGCGTTTTTGGCTTGAGTTGCGTGCTCCACCATCGGACTGAGGCGCGCCGGTGCGTCTAGTGTTTTTGGTGTGACCTCCATTTTTCTACTTTTGTCTATTTTTCTTCATTGTTCTGCATGTTCTGGATTTTTCTGGTTTTGTCTGGACTCTCATTGGCTCTTCTGCAAGGGGGTCTGGATCGTCGGGTAAAACTCAAGGACTCGGCCCTATCGAGTTTTTTCGTGGAGTACCAGGTTGTTTTCCACAGGAATGTTTTTTGCAGGTAATGTTAGCCAGGTACCTGTCAGAAGACTTGGTTCGTCGGGGAGGATGGCAGAGTTGTCGCCCGAGCGTTTTTAGCGAGTTTTTCGCAGGAACGTATTTAGCGTTAATAGTGGCCAGGTACCGCTCAACAGACTTGGTTCTTCGAGGAGGCTGGCAGAGCGTCCACCCGAGCGCCTTTTCGCGCGAAAAATGAAGGTCAGGGCAGCTTGTGACCAGGTTTCAGACGGGCCAATGCATAGGGACTAGAACACCGGGTTGATGAGTAACATGTCGACCGGGAATGCCCGCGTACGGGTGAGAGTATGTCCGTAAACTTATATTTATAGGGGGTAGATGGTTTCATTCCTCAGCCTGAGTGGCAAATGAGTGGAAGGGTTGAGATCCTCGGTGGTGTGATGTCGAGGCATGTAGGGGAGAAGTTAATGTCGCCATGATAGTAAAACTCACGTCTTCTTCTTCTTAAGTTATATCAATTTTTGTATGATTTTCTCTCTATGCAACCTGTAGTAAGCGATACATATTTCGCAAGCTATGTGTGTATGTACTCTGTGAATTGTGTATCGAGGAGAGAACGGGGCCAGCTGGACAAGGACCCCCCCCAATGACCGAACCAAGCTTGAACCTGTGACCTTGTAACATGTAATCCAAGACTCTACCGTATGAACAACTACTGGAATATGCCAGACTGGGGAGAACATCAGAACACCCGAGACCAACACCCCAAGCAGACCCTGTGAAACCCACAACCAACATACAACACCGTGGACTACCCTTGGGTGGTGCGCAGGCAGTGTCTGTAATAGTACCATGTCAGCCCAAGGGGATGCGTGTCCAGCGGTGCGTCAATCTAACGCCCTGCCAGTGTCCATGCGCAAGGCTGCGGGGTTTTGAACCCCTAACCTTATACCATAATGTGCATTTCCAACCGGTGCTCTAACCACTGAGCTACATCAACTGGACACGCGGGCTTTCTTAATGGTCACTTAGTCCAAAAAGTATCTTTGAACTTCAATGCGCACGGGGCGAGACCTCTTTTTGGGTCGGAAGGGAGGGGAAACCCACGTAGGATCTCGGCTTCGCACAAGGGACCGATGACGCTCGTCACAGAGCTCTGAATCCGAGTTGGAGGGTCGCAGTCTTATTGCATTTTGCTTGTAATCCTCTTCGCCACGTGTCCGATAGTGGAATCCCTTGGCCCGAACACACTCTGTGCGGCGACAATCGTTGCACAGAGTACGAGGCCAATGGGGTGCCATAGTCGGCCACGGGATGACGATCAACTCGTTGAAGGGAAGTAAAACAGGGGAAAGTTTGTATCAACTATCACAAATCCAGCATTTACAAATCTTGAACAACGGGCTTCCGATGGAAAGTAATAAGGACCGCCTATC